TAATTTTATCCATATTTTATGTTTATGAGTTTGTGGTTTTTTCCGTCCTTTTACTTTTAAAATAATGTTATTTTGAGCCTTTTTGAATTTTGTAAAGTATTATTTTCACATCATTCATTTTCTAAACTTTCATGTTTATCCCTATAGTATATATATAATTTGTTTTTCCTTAATAACATTTGTTTGTTAACCTAAAAAAATTAATTTTTTACGTGCCTATTTTTATATATCTGATGGTATAAATTAAAGGTGGTTAATGTTTCGACATGTATATAAAATTTCTATTCGTTAATTTATTTAAAAAAATTACTTGTTTTTTTTTTTTTTGCATGCATCGATTTAATTTCGAGTTTTGTCTACATTTCAACATAATTACTTTTAGTTTTAGTTTTTAATTTTATATACGTTTGTTACGTAAAAGTCATGTCACATATAATAATTCTTTTATCAATTTAAAAAATATATTATATTCAAGTTTGTCTGTGTACCATTACGTACATAAAAAACAAGTAATTTTTTTATATTAATGAACACCAGTTCTAAATTTACATCGAATACATCGAAAAGCTGACTACATTAAAATTATATTAACACATAAATAAAAATAAACACGTAAACAATTATGTTTTTTAGTTAACGAACAAATTTTACGATATGTTACCCGACTTATATGTGTGAACATATGTAAAATTAAACAAAAAAACATTAAAATAATTTACTTCGGAACATAGATAAATTTAAATATAATACGTTTTTTAAAGACAAATTACAAAATTGGTCTTTGTGGTTAGGGGTGTCATAAAAAACCAAAACCGAATAACGAAACCGAACCAAATGACGTTTGGTTTATTTGGTTCGGGTTATTTGGTTTTCGGTTAATTTGGTTTGGTTAACCGAACAATGATACCTTATTTGGTTTGGTTTTTGGTTAAATTTTCGTTGTTTTAGTTAAACCGAAAAACCGAATAAGCTATTTAATATATATATATATATATATATATATATATATATATATATATATATATATATATATACTTTTTTAATTATTAACAATTATAAAGTTATAGTTGTTGTATATTTTGTATAAAAAGCAAAAATAAATTAACCAAATAATCTTTAATTGTACGATTAAAATTATATTGATCTATTTTGAAAACTTGAATATAATATTTTATATATTAATGTAGTTTCTTTTTTGGTAATACTTTGGTAAGTCCTTTTTTCTTTAAATTTAATATTTATTTTTATGTATTGAATTTTATTCGGTTTAACTGTTAAACCAAATCAAATAAACTATAACCGAATAAACCGAAACCGATTAAACCGAACCTTATTTGGTTTGGTTATGATTAGATTTAAAATGTAAAAAAAACCAATAAAATCGAACCGTTTTAACCGAAAACCGGAAAACCAAACCGAATAACATGTGGTTTCACAAAAACTATAGATAATGTTTAAAAGTTTTTGACTCGCACGGTAGGTCCCAAATCACGAATTTTCCGTGGTTTTTGTTCAAAAAAAAAATTAAAAGGATGGTTTTGCCTTTTTAATTTATTCGTTATGTTTTTTAAATTATTTTAAAACTATTTTATTTTTTAAAAATAGGAAAATAAAAGAATTAGCTCTCTCTCTCTCTCTCTCTCTCTCTCTCTCTCTCTCTCTCTCTCTCTCTCTCTCTCTCTCTCTCTCTCTCTCTCTCTCTCTCTCTCTCTCTCTCTCTCTCTCTCTCTCTCTCTCTTGCAATTTAAACTACATATATACATAAACACTTAAATCAAATCACACATGTAACACTTAAAAAAAGCAAAACATTTTATACAAAAGATAGTATGTTTCTCTCTTAAAAATACAAAATATTTTATACAAGAAATACACTTAAAAAACAAAAAAAAAAAAATTATACATGAGATTATATATATATATATATATATATATATATATATATATATATATATATATATATTCTTACACATACTGTTTACGAAAAAATAAAGCTTTCATGACACTATGGTTCATCAGACTACAATAGAGAATTAGAAATGTCGACACTTCCTTGGTTTACTTGCATATGTTTTGATCTGCCACTATAGCAAGTCGGTCTTCAAAACAATCATTGATCTATCCTAGCATACAAGATAGATAAACATAGAAACAAAATCCCATACAAAATGGAAGTCTTTTGTTCTAGCAAGCCGATCTTAAAAACATTAGGATATTATCTTATTTCTTTAGGCTTGATTTACTAAAGATCTTTGTGAAGCTCCCTAACGTCATCAGGGATGCAACCCCTATGACCATCAATAGTATTGCAGTCACCGCTGATATACAACTTTTTGACTTATCAAATCATAAGGGTCCTAACATAATCCAAGTTGTTATTTGTTTGTTATTATAAATTTATAAGAAAATAGGGTCAAACTCATGACCTCTTGTTCAAAGCCCCAACGTCTTAATAAGTGAGTCAAGTAATATTTAATTCCTTTATATTTGACTTATTTAGGTTTTTAAAAGTTAAATTACTGAAATGGACACAAAAATGAGTTTGAACTCAAAACATAAAGAAAATGACAAGGTTCCAACTCACAACCTAACTAAGGGTGTTCGACTCCTTAAACATTGGGCTAAAGGTTCTTTGTGAATAGTTTCCTAAAGTGTATCTATATAAACAAGTATATTTTATATTTCATAAATAAACAAGTGTATCTAACTCGGTATTTTTAGGACGTTACATTATCCATCAAGACCTTGGGAAGGATCATATTTTGGCTTTGGATCCCTTGGAATTGGGAGAAAGCAACTTAACCTGATTAAGCTGTTCATACCAGTTTCCACAACGTGACCTTGGGTTGCCACGATGTGGCGATTGGGGGATTAGTCGATTGTTTTGTTGTTTTGTACCCATGACGTGGCCAATGGAAGGCCACTACATAGAGGCTTGATGTTGACAACTTTGACTTTAACTTTGACTTTGCTGATAGGCCCAATCTTGTGTGGGCGGGGCCCGTATCTCCTAGTTGCATGTTATATGTGTATGGTATTTGGTAGTTTGGGGGAGCTCACTAAGCTTCGTACTTACAATTTTAGTTTTTGTTTCAGGTACTTCAGCTAACAAAGGGAAGGGCTCGAGTTGATGGCATGACACTCACCACAGTTTTTAGTAGCCTACAAGCTTACTTTGATATTTTATATGAGATATTTATATGTTGACAAATTTTATGAGATTTTGAGATACATGTTTGATGATTTGATTATGTAGTGATAATATTATGGTTGCTAAATGATTTTAAAAACAAAATTTTTGACTTGTATTTTTGGGATGTTTCACCTCCGCATCAAAACAACTCCCAAACCCGAAATAGAAGCATCACAATACACCATAAAATCATCTAAACCCTCAAGTAGTGCCAAAATCGGGGCCTCACGTAATTTCTATCTCAAGGTCTCCGATACCAATTGCTGGTCTGGACCCCACCGAAAGATCACACTCTACTCGGTTAAGCGGGTCAAAGGTACTACAAACTTGGAGAAATCCTAAATAAATAACCGATAGTACCCCGCCATGCCCAAGAAACTCCAAATCTCGGATGGATTATTCGGAACCTCCCAACACATCACCGCCTCAATCTTGTCCGGATCCACCAAGATACCCTCTTTGTTGACGATGTGCCCTAGAAACTACACATCACGCAACCAAAACTCGCATTCAGAGAATTTGGAATATAGTCTCTCCATCCTCAAGTTTTCCAACACCTCCCTCAAATGTTGCTCGTGCCTCTCGTTGGTCTTATAGTAGACCAAGATATCATCAATGAAAACAATCACAAACCGATCCATCATCGACCTGCAAACCCGGTTCATGAGATCCATGAACGCTGCTGGAGCATTGGTGAGCCAAAATGACATCACCACAAACTCGTAATGAACATAACGAGTTCTGAAAGTCGTTTTCGGTAATGGCCCAAAGGTCTGCGATCATTTTCAAATAGTCCATAATTCTAAGTCCATGTCCCTCCGTAATGGCCCAAAGGTCATTCCTTCACTAATGGGCCTATCAGCAAAGTCCAATTCTATATTGGGCCTTGGGCCACAAGGCCTAATAGGCCCAAGCATACCAACATTGGCCCAAAGATAAATTCAGGCCCAAACACCAACAAGTCTAGTCCCAAAACCATTAGGGACCAATGGTATGAAGTCCACCAAGGCCCAACGCTACCTAAGAGCGTACGCCCAACGTACCTCTTCTATACGCTTAGCGTACTAGGCTAAGGGGTTGTACACGCAATGTACAACATAGTACGCCCTGCGTACAAACCGCTCATGCACAAAAGTCATTATGTGCTTAATGCATGCAGGCTCTACACTTAAATTCTAAATCGTGGTCGATTTAATGGTCTTAAGGCATAAAATTGGCAACTTTATGCCTTTGCATGCTATATAATATCCCAACAACTCAATCTACCTCATCAAGACCTTTCCAAATGTCTTAACTCATGCTTGGAGCCATAAAAGACATCAAGTTTGCATTTTTATACTATAACACGAGTCCAAGAGTCTCAGATCTAACCTTCCTAACCTATGGTGTTGCCCAAACTCTCAATAGATGATTTATGGACTCAAAAGTGAACTTTAGAAAACCCTAACTCAACAACAAGGAAGATAGACAAGATGCAAGCTTTTTACCTTCAAAAGCTCTCCAAAATGCTCTAGATGCAGGATCCAAAGGCTCTTTCCTTGATAAAGACTTGAACACCACCTTCTTCTTCTTGTACACCCTCTAGAAAGTCCACCAAACACACCTTTAAGCTCAAATCTCACACTTCCTTTCAAATATAGGGTTTAAGGACGAAATGAGGCTATGGAGGCTGATTAGGGTTTGGTCCAAATGATATAAGGTTGTTTAAATAGCGTGCAAGTCATGAAATATGGTTTTTGGTCTCTGGCCTCGTACGCCCCACGTACATGCTCGTACGCCCGACGTACGAGCCTTAGCTCCGCGATGCATGCTCAAGCGTACGCATATGTACGCCCAATGAAGATCCTCATTTAAAAAAAAAAAACATCAAGGGCTAAAATGGAATACCTGGATTGGAGTGTTCCATGGTTCACCCATTTAATTAATTAAATTATTTGAATGATCAAAATATGTTAACATAAATAAAAGGTGTTTTAAAAGAAGCTGGAACCAAATAAACAAAGTTTGAGAAGAAAGATACAAAACAAAAGAAAAGACATAATAAGGTAATCAAAACTACATCTTACTAAGGATAAAGCCTACAACTTCTGATTAGAAGAAACCATTCCCTCAATTCTTATCATTTTCTACATATCTCATATAGGGGCAAAATTGTTAAATCCTATCAAAACTAGCACCAAATGTTTTCTCCAACTTGTGGAAATCCACATAAGGTCTCGGTTAAATACTAATACTCCAATTTCGACTCATGATCTAACCCACCCACTGTTTTTATTGCATCTCCCCTATCACTGATCATAAAGGGACAACCGATGTAACCCACACCTCTTCAGAACCACACAACCCATCAAGATCCTACATTGAAGACCTTAATATCCTTGTTCCACCACCGCAACAAACAATTTTGTGAATATATACAAGATGAGGTTAACATCAAACCCATTAAATTAAATAGGTCAACAGTCATTATCTAAGCCAAATACTCAACAAAACGATATCGTACGGAATCATAACAAAACTTCCATAATTCCGTTACCCTATTGGGATTGGGGACGTTCCGTCATGAACCACACTCAGGTGTCCAGGTTTCTCCTTAACAAGCAAAGAACGTGAACAATATTTGCAGAACCTACTCGTTCTCCTTTATATAATCAAGGTTTGATTACGTAATTTTATCCATTTGATTAATGTATTTTGTTTCTACATAATAATTCCCCCTATTTTACCAAAATATGTGTTGTTTTCGTTAATACTAGGGTTTTAATCAAATATTTTTTGCAGTTCTTTGTCCCATTAATGTTTTGTTGCTCATAGTTTCGAAGAAAATTGTATTCGTGTACTGTTAATGGAACTTGTGCGGAGATGAAGGTGTTTCTTCTTTTGTCTTGGTTGATTTTAAACGAACGTTTTCATTGCTTTGCGTTTGTAGGAGCAACGAAGGTGCACTGTAGTTATAGATGGATTTGCTTCTGTTTTTGTTCATTGGTTTGCAAAAACAGATAATGAATTTTATTTACAAGTCAAAATATATCTTGGTAGGTAATGAACAATTGAACATAACAAACAATCTGTAACGATGAATTAAAGGCAAGTGAGACTGGAAGAGTAGTCCTTAAGAACACAATTGAGGAATTCAAACAGGGGACGTGTCTTACTAAGTTATTGAGAAATCACATCATCTTTGTACACTTGTAGCTTTACAAATGACATGTTTTGTGTAGTTGTCATTCTCCTTGATCAAATGTTTTTATACTTCCATTAGGGCCATCTTAAATGTCAGGGAGAAAGCGTTATCCTCGTGGGCCCTATGACAACCGGCATGGGCATCTCCGAGGAGTGCCTCCATCACGGGGCCCTATGCCACGTCATCCTGCCATGTTGGAGGAGGAACTTGAAATGCAACATCATGAAATCCGCAGACTTTTGGGTGAAAATAGGCGCTTAGCTGAAGATCGAATTGCTCTGCAGCAAGAGTTGGGTGATGCCAAAGAGGAACTCAGGCGAATGAATATTGCAATTTCTGATATTCAAGAAGACAATGAAATACACTCAAGGCAGCTTATTGAAAAAAACTTGAAACTAGAAGCTGATTTACTTGCCACTGAACCTATAAAAAACGAGGCTTCACAACTCCATGTGGAAATTGAGAGGCTAAATTCATTAATACATGATTTATCTAGGCAAGTTCAGATTCTCAAGAAAGACCTTGCAAAATTTCAAGCTGATAACAAGCATCTTCCGGGTTTAAGAGCAGAGCATGAGGGACTTCACAATGAGCTTATGCATTTTAGGTTTTTAACTTTTGGATCCCCTCTTATCTTTGAAGATTAAGTGCTAAATGAATAGAGTTTTTTGAGGTAAAGCTGTTGCATATTCTGTAGAGCTGCAATTGATTATGAGAAGAAAGGAGGTATAGAGATGATGGAACAGAGACAAGCTATGGAGAAGAATTTGGTTTCCATGGCACGTGAAGTTGAAAAGCTTCGTGCAGAACTTTCAAATACTGATGTTGGATCATGGGGTGCTGGTATTTACCATTATACCATTATCTTCATATTTGGTTAAAGCTACATCCTTCTTTTGCTAACTTTTTAGCAGCCTACTTTAAAGTTTAAACCATAGCCAATACCCATTTAACTTCTTGTTTTTTCTACTTTCTACTTTTTGAATATGGATTTTTGATACATGATTATTTAGGTGGGTCATATGGGATGAAATTTGGCAGTTCAGATGGTCATTTTCCTCCTCCTTATGGGGATGGATATGGGGTTCACCTGGTATTGCTTGCAATATTGCTCAAAATTACACTTATGCCACTGGAAAATTTACTTGAAATTTCTTTATTGAAGTGTCTCCATTGTTCCTTAGGGTGCTGGGGACAAGGGTCCGTTGTATGGCTCAAGTTCTGCTTCAAGGGCTGGGCTCGAGAAATCTTGCATGACACGTCATTGAAAAGAGGATGGTTTGTGTTCCCGTTTGAAGAAAGACATATTTTCTTCTACATTATGGGTCCTCCTAGGTTTGCATTTAAATAAGTATTCCTTTGATTTGAACTCATTGGCTATATTATGGTCTATGGAGACAACGATCCTCATGTTACACAATTTAGACGTAGTGTTAAATCACCACAATTTGGATTTTTAACCATTAATTGTAATGTTTACAGCATACTGTTTCGTTTTTCTTGCTTCTTTATTTATTAAGACCACATACTCATTAACTTATATATGACCGCATCCTTAAAGCAACAGAATGCTTCATCACTTCAGATTGGCATATAGAAAGACAATTGGAGGATTGTATGGACCCCAAACCTGTAGGTCTATTACTATCAAGCTCTTAAAATTACATGCTCTGAAGAAATAGTTTATGCTAAGTTGGGAGTATAGTATTACAGAGAGTAAAACTTAAATGTCTAGTTCTTGATGAAATGATTGTAGCAGCTTGCTGTATGACTTCATATTTGCATCTCAAACACTTTGTGTCCTCTATACATACAATGTTCTCTCAAAATCTGTTGAGAGTAGTGGTATAGACTTTAGAGGGAAGATGGAACTCAGCTACATAGAAGGTCAGAAGCATTTGCCACACAAGTGCTTGAGGACTTGGAGCTCTTAGAGATTATCACTGATGTTGTATATTTCTAAATTCAGACATTGGATGCAGTTACATCAAGATCAAGTCATAGAAAGCTATTGAGCTTTTTTTTAAAGAGATTTATAGTATGGGAGACGTATCTGAGATTTTGTTAGCCAACAGTATTATATCACTAGGTTCTTGAGCTTTGTTGGTTTATCCTACAAATTGTTCATGTTTTTGTATCAGTGCACTGTCCACCATTCTTAATGGAGAAATTGATAACTAGTTTATAAGGAAAGATTTTGGAAAAGTGAAGAGGAAAATCAGGGAGGTGTCCTTAACATTGTGAAGATTGTTTATAAAGACTGAAGAGTTCGATTTCTCCTGGTGATTTGCTGCAGCACTTTGGGCAAACATTATGCAGTCTCGTGTATCTTGTTTTGGTGCGACTTTTGCTGTTTCATTTCTTCATCTAATAATGTTGTGATATAGCCACAAAGACCAGATGTTCATTTTGCATTGTCGGCTAGCTTGAAGGAAGGTTGACATGGCGTGTGATGTGGAGCTGGGTTCACAATGTACTTTATGGTAGGCAAATTTTCTGACTCTGGGAAAAATTGGTTTCTATCATGTGAACATATATCTTGACCTACAGCTATGTTATTAAACGTTTACACTAGGCGTTTGTTTATTATTAGAACTCAGACCCATAGCTCGATGTGTCTCTTTGGAAAGTTAATTTGAACTCTTTAGGGTAGATTTTGAGGTTATATACACTTCCTTTTGGTTTTCATATTGATAGAAATGTTTTTAATTCTTATTATCCAACTTCAGTTTCTCTATCCAATATCCATACCGTTTCAACTCTCTAGGTGTTGGGGTTTCTCAAAGAGAGCGGTGGTGGAGATTCAATTTTGCATCCGGCTGCAAATGCTTTTGGGTTCCACCTGTCGGTTTATTATAAGAAGAACAAAATTGGGATTGTCAGTGGAGTTATTTCTAAGAATGAATATAAGGTGTCCTTTTCAAGGTGAAGTTGACAATTGCTGCAATCTCATAAAGATTTCACCTTTGAGTAGTTACCAGGAACAGTGGACCAAATACATGACCAGTTTTTCATCTTAAGGAAACTTAAAAACTTAACTATCTCATTGGGTATGAGACACGAGACTTTGAGCAATTACCATAAGGGCAGGTATAGGTATAGTGGACCTAATAAGTTTATAGGCCCGTATGGTTATGTCTTTTGTTCGCATTATTTGTAACAAATATGGAGTTTAAAGTAAGAACTTTCACTTGGCTGTTAAACTATGGGAGAGAGTGATGGAGGTGAGGTTGCAACA